TATTTGATAAATTTCATTGTCTGTGATTCTATAAACCAGTCTACGAACTACAATTAAGTTCAGTCCTCTTCAAGACCCACAGATTCCATTCGATTAAATCCATTTTAATCATTGATCTGAGAAAACTGTTGAGTATAATCGATAGTTTAGAATTTCTGAACTCGTTTAACGCCATGCATGACAACTAGTTCTTAGGTTAATGTTTTGGCATTGTCGCATCTTGGGGTGTTGGACAAAACTACCTCGAGCACAGGCTATTCTATGTTCAATTTCCTTATATCATACACTAAATTCGTTATAACTTATACATACACCGACGGATTTGAAGTGTTTAGTACTTATTAATTCCTCATTCATCACTGTTTCATTCCAATTTCAAAAACATAGTTCTGCTTTGGAAAGTTTTAGCGTCAGTCTATTTCTTGGAAGACTTGGTAAATAATATCGATTTTTTGTTCAAGATCATTCTTATCCCAATTAAGAATACATATTTTATCAGCATAGCCTCTCTTCACCTTATTATCAGTAATTTGGCCTCTAGAGGGAAAACAATGCCTTTTTATATTAATAAATTTGTTTGGAATATTGTACGGTATGTGTAAAGCCCTATTCTTTATGTCCTCCTTGTCACTCTCCATATGAGCTTTGGAATGATTTGGTGTTTGGGTCTTCAACAGATTATATATATGATTGTGGTTTATATAGTTTCTCTGTGAGATCAAGATCAGAGTTTGAAAGACACTTTCTGATAAATGAGAAGAAGTTTCTATTGACATGGTCAGATACTGATTTGAGATCAACATAGCAGGTATACAATTTTCTGTTCAATAAGTATGTATTTTCATGGAGTTGCTTGATGACATAGTTGGCATCATTGAACACCTTATGGGAACGAACGCAAAACTTGAGAAGTTAACTTTCATAAAACGGTAAGAGTCTAGTTAGCAAAATATTCATTATTACTTTCGCCATAATGTATCCAACTAGTATACCATTGTACATATAAAAGTCTTCAGGACAACCTTTATGTTTCCACAGCACATTAATAAGTGATATACCGCTCTGCTTTGGGATGTGCTTTTGATTCCAGATTTCCATCATAAAACAGAGAAACTTATTTTTTAACTTGGAAAGACAGGTTGTTTATGTGTTCAGACAGACCTTTAATGTTCGGATAAATACCTGTACATGTTTTATTTCCTCTGGTATTTTCAAATTAGAGTGGTCACGGTTCAAATTTGATACGAAATTTTCTTGAAGCCAGGGCATTTCTTCTGTTTTAGGTTTGATTCTATGATATAATAGGGACTTTTAGTAATTCTCTACATTTAAACACATAATCTATACTGTTTAACTTTATTGATTTGTTTTCCAATTGCCAAAAGAAGTTGATTCCTCAGTGCATCAATTTTTTTTTTCTTTAGTGTTCTCCCTTCTTTCTCTCCTTTTTATCTCTTTCTGCTATCAGTTTTTTCAATTCAGATTTTTCATCCCATAGAAAACTTTTTTCCGTCTTGTTACTTTCGGAATTTTCTCACGTGATTCGGCTAAAGAATATGTGCTTCTTCAATGCTGTTTGCTCCAAAATTTATGGGCATCAGTTTGGATTCTAGTTTATCACAAAACGCTACCTTGACTTTTTCGTTGTTAAGAGCTTGAACGTTATATTTAGGGATATTTTGTGGTTTACGTAAACGGAAGCAAGTTGATGTTATCTGTTTAGATACCGGAAATCTGTGATCCGATTCAAAGTATGAATTATATATTCTAAGCTCTCTCACAGTCAGTAACATTTTTGGTTACTTTATCTGAACTACGCAAAGTTTTATGAGATGATCAAACCCTGTTTAAAATTAAGTTATTTGTTTCATAAATAAGATTTATTAAACCTACAAAGTAAAATTTAAGATTAGTTTTCCTTCCAAAATTACGAGGATTGATTCACAAATATATATCTCCAATCCTACAAAACAAGTTTTAGAACACTCCACTTTTTCATTTCATCCAAGAAGAAAGTTTCTGATTTACTTTTGATCCAATTGTGCGCGAGTCGTGCATGTTATCGGATGATAACTGCGGGCGTCGCGCTTGGCATCGGATGAAAAACATTGATTTTAAACGCCTATTTCAGTTTGTCTGATAGTGCTAGATTTTGTTTCAAAAGTCAAATAATACCAAATTGGCGTTGTTCATAATGTTTGCAATAACAGTGAATTTAAAGTTTCTCATAATCTACACCGTTTGTTGATAGCAAGACGCTTTTTCGCCATAGCGCTGCAAAAAATTCTGTTCCATCCTTATTCTGAAAATGCATTTTTGAATAACTAAAAGGGCATCATTGTTTTCATATCTGCAAATTTTAACTGGCGCCCAAAATTTTATCATTGCTTAAAAAGTGGCTCTGATTTCGTATTCATGATTAACGAACACAGTTACTCAATGCCTTCACACAGTGAACAGACATGAATCCTCCCGTTTTAACATGACTTATACTAGCGAATATATTTTCAAAGAGTTGAGTATTTCCGCTAGTGGGAATGGCACGTGGTTGGAAACCTTGTTTAACAATTAGCTCGTAATTTACATTTTTAATGTGTTTCATTTACTTGAACCTAATTGACAGATTGATTAATGTAACCTTTTTTGTTTCATCCCCTGATCTAAGTGATAGTCAGCAAGGTCGTTCCTATCTCCAGGATCATGGGAGTTCCATGGCAATGCACATTCCCTTACCAACTTACTTCATACTCGCCAGTTCGCAAGCAGTCAGGTAAAAGTCAGTATTTCGGATGCTGATTTTCATGGCAGGCAATCTATCTTCACTAGGAGATTTGGCGAAACACAATCTTTTTACACCCTTTTGACATATAGTTATTTACTAAATTCAGTCTAGTCGGAATCAGCATCAAATAGAAGACAAGGTGTAGTGAGATTCTGATGAGAAATTTTTCTTTTCATTTTTCTTAGTCGACACTAGTAGGTTGCATGGTAGCAATAGTGATTTGTATACCTGTATACGCTAATCGCCATCAGAACGTTGCATTTCCACTAATTGGCCTAAATATAAACTTCTAATCTATTTATTTCTATCTATTTCTGCTGGCAATCCTGCAAATTTTAGTTTGCATCTCGATAAACAACTATTGGTCTATTGAAATAAACTGAAATGGAATAATCAATGTTTTAAACAACAGAAAGTGGCAATAATAGAAGAACTAAAACCATTTCAACTTCCATGAAAATTATAATGCGGATTTCTCTATAAAAACCTAAGCTGAAAATCACAAGCAGTAAGAAACATGTTGAGAGTAATTTCTGAGCGAAAATTAAATTTGAAAATGTTATAAAACACTTTTTCTGGATGATCACTGCTGTTAACTACCATGTTATAACTATGAAACCATCAATTTTACTATCAAAATTTGGTAAGAAACCTAATTTATTTTACATTTATGACAAAATTTGTTACCAGAAAATTTGCAACATTTTTTAAATACTGTGAACCGTGAAAATACTGATCATCATGAGAATTAGAAAATCCCTTTTTTAATTTCTATTTCTTATGGTCTTGATTTTTACGACATTCCTCGTCTTTCTTCATTTAATCTGTATTTTTCCTATTTCATAATTTCTTGTTACGTTTCAACGAAGAAATTTCTTTCAAGCAGTTAAGTTTCATTTAATTGAATCCTGTATTTACAGTCTTACAAACTTAGCAGTGTGTGCGCACACGTCTTATACTTTGTATATACCTATCTCAATATATATATATATTATATATATATGCTATATACAATACGCACACACATACACACACACAAATATATGCGTGTGTGTGATGTACTTTATATCGTTGTTTAGCAAAACTAGTTTCTCAGATCATAGTTAGAGGAATGAGTTTTTTCCAGGACGCTCCAGTCTTGTATTCTTGAGCCAGACTAAACTAAACTTAATAAGTATCTAAACAGGAATATAGTTATATATATAAATACATACAGACATACCCACATATAGGTACACACACACACATATATATATATATATATATATATATATATATATATATATTAAGAAATGGACAAGGTCCGACAATTTATTTTATTAAAAAAATTTTATGTTTAACGTTGTTATTTATAGATACAAGTATTTAAGCAAATGCTCTGTTTATGATAAACAGTATTAAATAACATTTACCGGCCTGAATGTCCGAGAAATTTTCATAGAAAATATTCGTTCTTTGACAGGATTCGAACCTGTATCCTATACGGAACCGTCATTTACGCTGACGTGCCTTAACCGTCTCGGCCACATAGAACCTTTGAAGTTTATAAGCAGTAAATTCGACCTTGTATACCGAAAGGTTCTTTGTGGCCGAGACGGTTAAGGTTCAGCGTAAAATGACGGTTCCGTATAGGATGGGTTCGAATCCTGTCAAAGAACGAATATTTTCTATGAAAATTTTCGGACATTCAGGCCGGTAAATGTTATTTAATACTGTTTATCATAAACAGAGCATTTGCTTAAATACTTGTATCTATAAATAACAACGTTAAACATAAAAATGTCTTTAATAAATATATATATATATATAAATGACCATGTAAAACCAAAATCTGTATGGAGCTTCTTTGGAGTTCAATTTTAATTTTGTCAGAGTTTCATTTCACCGAAGATATGGGCTGAATTATATATACACGCGCGTGCGTGAGTTTATGTGTGTGTGTGTGTGTGTGCAATGGTTGGTTGATCACATGATCTAGGATACTATAGAATTACAAAACTATGTCTTTCATGGTTTCTCTATGAAAAAAAGAGATACTTTGTAGTACCAATCTCCTTTCCACGTTATATGAACGGGTAAGAATTCCTTACATGGTACGAACAGCAGGAAAGAAGAATACAAAAGTCTTTTTACTCAAAGTTTCTCCCAAATTCTCTCTAATCAGCCCAGAAAAAAAAGCATCTTCTTCTACCTCAGTTCAAGATTATGTTGCCGTTGACTACGACTTAAGTAAGCCTCTGCGGAAACTGATATAAGAAAAGACGAAAGAGGAGTGACGGGTCGGTGGTTGCTTCATCGTCTGAGGCCGGATCTGATAAGAACGATATTCAACTGCCATGTAACCATCACTTGGGGCACTGTGGGTGCCGTTTGATATCACGTGACCACTGAGATAATGGCGGCTGTCATTTCCTGGTCCACAACTTTAGAAGCAAAGAGACGGGAAATGTAGAAAGAATGGGCCAGAGGTGAAATCGTGTGACGGAAAATGAAGAAAAGAACAGAAAATAGTTAAAGGAAGATTGACACGTGGGAAGGGGGAAGATTCGAATATTCAACAGTATAGAGATAAAAACTGGATAAGGAAGAGAAAACGGAAGACGAGAAATGAAGCGAGATAGCAACAGAATAAGAAAGAAAGAAAGAAAAAAGAAAGAAAGAAAGAAAGAAAGAAAGAAAGAAAGAAAGAAAAGAAAAGAAAAGTGTAGGAAATTACATTACTATCTAAAAAGTTTTAAAATGAAATGCTGGATAAAGGTAACTGGTTTTATGAGAATGGTTCAGATTCGGCTTTTTATGGCCAAAAGAATCTGAATTTCTCTTTCTGCTGCTTTTCCCACCAACTTTGCTATTTCCAAACTAGACTCCCACAGTTTTTAGAATGGACGCTGGGCAAAACGATGATTGAGTTTCTATGACATCCAGTGAAACTGAAACTGAAATATCATTTTCATATCCAGACTAATATCCACATTGTTCTTACTTTTAAACCTACTCTTCGACAATATACAATTTTAAATTTATATGTAAATCGATATCCGCCTCTGGCTATGTTTAAGGAGCTAAAATAAATACATAGTTACACGCCCAACCGTCTACATGCACAAACAGTAACACCATGATAAATTCTTCTTCGTTTTGTGCTGGTTTTATTTTTTGTAATATTGTAAATGCTAGATTATCTGAATAATTAATAATAAAAGACATTATCATGAATAGTCACCGAAATAACTACATTTTACATTTTACTTAATGGTACCATGTGCAAGAGAATATATATATATATATATATATATATATATATATATATATATATATATATATATATTGATACACAATTATTTATCGTGTTATGACATACCTTTTACCAATGCTGGAAAATAGATACCCAGATGAGATACCCAGCCATAACCATCTTGTTTAGGCTCAACAACGATATCATATACATTGAAATATTACTGGAAAAATATTTTCAATGGAACAGCATTAATATTAACATATAAGAAACTATTATTCACATACGTGCATACACCTATATACAAGCAGATGTTCTGCAACATTTTTGTCAAAAATATTGTTGCGATTCGTCATTTGGCGATGGCCATAACCTTCATTTGGCTTCATTTCAGTTAAAAATAACCTGAAAAGTTAGTTTCACTATTTACGCTATGTTATAACGACTCCATATAACAATGTTTCTTGTCCGGGGGCCGTCTGAATAGGATTTTCGTCTTTTTGACAGTGATCTTGTTAAATAAGTTAATGGCAGCTTGGTCCGTAGTTTCATTGTCGTCAGTATACTGAAATTCTCGCACGGGAGTGGTGGTACTATTTGTGCCAAAACGAAGTCGTGTAAAGTTGAAGAGTTTGCCGTCATTCCTGTATCGAATGTTAATATCAGTGCTGCCAGGGTATGTCTTATTGATCATGGCGCCGATGTACAGGGGGAAGAGTTTCGGAGCTAACATAGCCCTGTTTAATGTCACCAGTGAGTGGAAATGGGTTAACCCGGGCCTCCATTCTATGGTGGAGCATACGGATCAGAGACACGAAGCAATCTGGTCAGACAAAGCGGGCAACATTGGCATATACTGCTGGTCTTGGAACTTTGTCAAAGGCCTTCTAGAGATCCAAGAACATGAAAATTAGTGTTTTTTGTTGCTCACGACTCTTCTTCTTGAGCCACCATACACAGAAGACCATGTCGAAAGTGCCTCGTGAAGGCAGGAAATCACATTAGGATTCTGGAATGATCTCTTCTGCCACAGGGAGGAGTTGATTCAGTAGTATTCACGTAAAGATTTCACCTGCAATGCTTAGGAGGGTGATGGCACGATAGTTTCCGCAGAGTGGGCCGTCTTCTTTTTTGAAGATCGTTACAATGTTGGCATTTTTAAAGTCCTCGGGGACTGTTTTATCTTCCCATATTTTCTGTATCAGGAGCATTAGCCGAGTCTTCAGTTCGAGGCCATCGTTGGAAAAAAATTCCAGGGGCACATTGTCGGGTCCGCGAGCTTTTCCGGGTTTCATGATGCTGAGTGCTTCTTTCAATTCACGGAAGGTTGAGGGGAATGACATCCGGGCAGGGATTTGGGGGTGTTTCGCAGGATGTTTTCCGGCGTGGTGGCGTGATCCTTGAGAAGGGACTAAAAGTGTTTTTCCAGCGGTCCGGTATGGATTCAGGATCAGTAAGAATGGTGGGGTATCGTCCGAGTCCTTAACGCCTGCCATCATTGATTTGATGGGACCAAAGATTTCCTTCGTGAATGCATGGAAGCGACGAATATCCCGTTGATTAACATATTTTTGTTTTTCCGCTGTCTTTACCTGCTACCAGGAGTCGTCTTTGGTAGTTTTTCGTTGCCTCTTGATAGATCATTTTCTTTTGAACTGAGGAAAGGTTATACTTTTTTATTAATCATAAATGTGTGTATTTTTCCCTTGAAAATCATTGTGCTTATTTCAAAAACCGACCAATTTTTTGAAAATATCCAATAAAGTTGCTCATGATAGCATGATGTCATAGATGTTTTCCTCATTTTTATATTTACACAGCAGAAATTCCCCAAGAGTCGTCAGGCATCATCAAGAACAAGTTCATTGATTGTAGAGTTATGAATTCTGTCTAGTGAATGAATTGGACCACTAACGAATTATACTTTGTGTCATTATATACCAGTAGAAATTCTTAAAGAATGGCTTAAACTTTATATTAAGTACACTTCATAGATGTTAACCTCACGGCCAACAAAGAGACACATTTGCTTTAGTGTAAAGTCTCACATCTATAATTAATCTAAGATGTTAGTGTTGAAACTTGACTAATGCATGGAATAATAATGCAACACAAAATCTACTTAGAACAAAATGTCTTGAGACAAGAAAGTGTACACAATATTTACATATAGTCTTTTGTATATTCCTGGTAAGACCGTTCCTGGAGAATGTGTTGACTGAGTCGCGGTCGGGCAGAGTCTCTGGTTGAATCTCTTGATTCCTTCCATATTTATATGGTCGGTACTCCACTATGCAAATTAGGTGGATCCTACCACAACAGTTAGATTATTTTCGCCATATATTTGATAAATATATACGATAGTCCGCTCATTTGCCAAGCAATTTTTTATAATTATTATTGGGTTAAACGAAAGGTTTGTAGCCTTTAAGTGAATGTTAAAGGTAATATTTAGATATTTGTACTTATATTTATTCAACCACATATGTGTTGTTTTGTTCCACTGTTTTTCGCTATCTTTGGGGCAGCTTCATGATTCCCTCATCCCAGAAATATACATCTTTCTGGGTAATGAAGAGGTCCCCTATTAAGAACATTTTGTAGGGATCGAAGTAAGTGGTAATCCGAATGTGCAAGGTCAGATGAGTAAAGCGGGTGTGCTAGGACATCCCAGCCAAACTGTATCAATTTCTACTGGATTTGAAAAAAGACATGTGGTTTGGCTTTATGCTTATGACGACACTCTTCCAATTGAACACCATTCTCTTCGTTTTAACATAAAATGCCACATATATGATTTTGTAAAGTTTTTGAAGCAGCTCTTCTCTGTGAGGTGTATTAAAACAAGAGGGTGACAAACATTTACTTAGAATTTTCTTTCTTTCTGCTTGTCTTTGAATAAAAGCATTTCTCTTCTTTTTTTCTCAAAAAGTTCTTTCTTACGACTTTTCTCTCTTTTCTTTCTTTTCTCTCTTTCTCATTCACCATAACAACGTTCTTTCTGCCTGTTTTTTTTTATTTTAAATTTTATCCTTCCTTTAGTGTGTGTTCTTTTATCATTTTTATTCTGTTTTTTGTGTGTTCTTTATATTTTTTCCCGTTTTTTGTCATTCTTCTTTCTTTCCTCTCTTTCTTTTTTCCTTTGAACATAGTTGTTGCAGATCAATAGATAGATAGACATATTAATAGATGTTGGTCATTTATTACCTTTCAAACTGTGAATGATTTCCCTTAAAAAGATTTTAAACGCTCCTCTTCTCTTCGTTCTGTATCTTTGATGATTATTATATCTATGACTACTGTTGCTAATAAGAATAAAAAATAATAATAACGCGGTGTAAGTGATGTGATAGTCTCTTAGAAAACAGAAACGACAAAGTGAGTTCATATTTTGGCTATTTATAACTAATTTTCCCTTTTACATGATCCGAATGAACGTTTTCCTACACTGTTTCACCGCCAGATGTCACAACAAAACTGTCTTCTCACTGTCATGCTACGATATTTGATGACGAAAATATCGCTTGGACGTGTCATTAGCAACAAAAAGTTTTTTAAGACACTGTTAATCATGACAGGAATTACTATTAAGTATTTGCATATTCACACCAAATATCTGGTGGTCATCGTTATGTGACAGCGAGACTTCTCAATTTTCCAGGACTCATCTCACTATCTTCGCAGACCCCAACAAGGACATTGTTTGTACATTTTTTACTCTTCTAACTCATCTTAATTCTGTTTGGGGAACATATTCGTGTGCTCCTACTATTATTAGAAATACTTTAATCGTCATATTCTACACGTTTCTTTGCTCCTTAGAAAATATTTTCCAATTTCCAAATTCTATTTCGCATTCACTATGTGGTCCGCTGATACAGACAAAATCGTTTGCTCAGTTTCCAGTGTATGTCTTTGTTGAAACTTGACTAATGCATGGAATAATAATACAACACAAAATGTACTTAGAACAAAATGTCTTGAGACAAGAAAGTGTACACAATATTTACATATAGTCTTTTGTATATTCCTGGTAAGACCGTTCCTGGAGAATGTGTTGACTTAGTCGCAGTCGGGCAGAGTCTCTGGATTGAAACTCTTGATTTCTCCCCACTCTTCCCGGTACCAACCATATTTATATGGTCGGTACTCCACTATGCAAATTAGGTGGATCCTACCACAACAGTCTTTCCTTTCTGATTTGTCTGTTTTGGTACTTTTTTTTCTGTTGCAGTTTATGACATTCACTGATTATGTGGTTTATTGCCTTTTCTCTTTTCTCAAAGAAGCATCATTTACTGTTTTTTCTGAATTTTTTTTTTAATCTTCGCTTTGATTGAGGTTGAATGATGCAGTTGTTCTAGACTGCAATAATGAAGATTTACGTTTTAACATCAGGTGTTTTCTGCGTAGACATATCAATGATTGTTCCCCAACGTTAACTTTTATCTGCCTTTTAAATTTCTCGGGAATTTTGACATATTTTTAACACATTATTTCCACCAATAGTAACTTTTGGCTTAACCTGGAAATTACGTGATAGCAAGTCTCCTACTTCAGCAATCTTTTTAGCATTCTAGTTATTTTCAATAATGCCGTTGTCATTTGGATGGTTTTAACTTACTGAATGTTCACACCAGAAGAAACTGCTGCTTTACACTGAGGAATAAGTAACAGCAATTCTCATCAATACTTCCCAGGATTCTACTACGAGTATGTTTCCAAATTCTTTTTTCTTTATTTTCCCCAAGCTTTATCCCAGGATTTTTGGAACCGTTCTTAACTTTGCTATTATTATTATTGTTGTTGTTGTTCTTGTTGTTGTTCTTTCTGTTGTTCTTACTCTTGCTCTTGTTGTTTTTTATTAGTAGCAGCAGCAGCAGTAACAGTAGTAGTGGTGGTATTTCAACTATTTGTGGATCTCCACATTTTTAGTAAATTCATGCTGATTTCCTATACAAAATCTTTCATTCCATGAATGAAAAACCGCGGAAACAGACAATTTTCTTATTGAAAAGACAATATTCGCCAGATTAAATGCTTTATTTTAAAAAGTTAAATTATGTATTTTGATTTGTTGGTAATTTGACAAAATATCCTTTTTATTACAAGCACTATCCTAAAATATGAAATAAATATATTAATCACAAAATATGAAATAAATATATTAATCACAAAATATGAAATAAATATATTAATCACAAAATATGAAATAAATATATTAATCACAAAATGCTGGAAAAATCGAATGTCTCCCGTTTATTCCAATGGAAGTTAAAGCAGATGCAGAGAAAACAATAACACCGTTGAATAGATACAGCTTTCTGCAACAAATTCCTATATTTCCATATAGTCACGAACATTAACTATGAATTTTCATGAGCGGTAGAAAAGTACTTTTAATTTCGTGGGTTGACTGCTATGGATTTTCACACACATTGCTGTTGCCAAGTATAAAATTCATTAACCATCGCCTGACTGAGCTTACATTCCCTTACATGGTTTAGAAAGCCTCGATTAATGTCAATGGTATATTTGTCTTCATTGAGAAATAGAGAGACACATTTTGTACGTACTTTTCGCTCAGATGCCGTTTCAAAGAAGACAAAAGAAATTATGAGTTGTTGGTGGGAAGATTTAATCTCTACTTCAACATCTGTCACGAGCTAACACAACATAATAGGAGGCATTACTTTCGGAGCATCTCTCATAAGCCTCCCCATATATATTTATGTGCATGTTTGCGTAAGTTTAGGTGTTTTTTTTTTTAAATAACAGATAAATTTTATGTTTATTGTATTTTTTATCACGTTTTCTTGCTGATGGATTAATTTCATTATATTGATGTTAAAGGTATATAGGAACAATCAACAGCATATATGAATATAAATATTTATTGCTTTTGTGATTTCCTTTTGTGTATGTCCATTGTAGACCATCAATGTTTCATATGTTATTAGATTCATCGCGGCTTATTCAATGTTTGTAAGTTTTCACAAATGGCGCTGACTGCCACAAATCAAAGAGTTTTGAAGAGGTTAGCGTTTGGCTGTGTCTGAGAGGAATTCCAATTTATATACAAAATTATAAGACAGTTCCAGAAGGATTATAGCCGTGACGATATTCATAATTCTTTCGAATTGTAACTGCTTGCGTATCTTTGATAAAGATACGAAATCCATGGATAAAACTAATTTTATGTCTCAGTTATACACTACTTCGGCAGAGAATTTAATATTTTTCCCTCCACTTTCTTCATAAAATTTTCTCTTTTTTGCAATTCGAGGAAATATTTTTATTATTTCAATTCCACAATACAGACCAATAAATTCATTTACAGAAAATAAGAATATTAGAAAGTTTTATCTCAGAACTTTATGCTAACCCCTTAATCCGAGTTTGAAATACTTGAGGTTATTAATGGGAAATAGATTGTATCTACTTTTTTTAAGATTTTGAAGAATTCCTAACTCGTCATCAAATTTTGATGTTTATCAAA